GTTGATGGGCGTTCCATCTGGCAGGTAGCCCGTGTCGTTACCTCATTGCCAAGCAAGCATGTCGCACATCCTGGGCAGACTAAATGACCAAGGCATCCCAGTTGCTGAAGTCCAGGTCGGCATAGGCATCCTGCAGACCGGTACGGCAGGCTATGGGACGGCTTCGGTACTTCAGGCTTCGGGCTATTCGTGCCACTGCAGGCGATCCCACCCTGAAGCCAGATTCTATTTTGCGAGGCCACCGAGGTCTAAACACCCTCAACCCTAAACCCTATAAACCCTATAAACCCTAAACCCTAAACCCTAAACCCTAAACCCAAAGGCATGCTGAACAGAGATGACTGTAGGCATGCCTGCCTTCTGGAAGCCATAGGCGAAGCCCACGCTGTGGCGCACGTTCCTCACAGCTTGGGCAGAGCCGACGAAGGCCGCCGCGGCCGCTGGGCCTCCACATGGTAAGCTGCTGGCTTGAAGGGCTTTTTGGGGTGTTGAGGGCATTTGGGTTTAGGGTTTAGGGCTTAGAGTTAGAGGCTTTGTAGGGTTTAGGGTTTAGGGTATGGGGCTTTTGGGCTTTTGGGTTTCTTCCACGGGGCCAGACATGATCGGTGTAAAGTCAGACCGGCAGGACTTTCGTGGGTATGAGCTTCGTGCATGATGGTGTATGATGGGGTTCGGGCGCACAGGACACATCCGCCACATTCTCTCAGATGCTCTTGGATGGCAGCACGTCAAGTTGAAAGGCTTGCCGCAATCACTCGGAAACTGATGTCAAGCCTGGCGCAGCTGGCGAAGTCGCCGGCTCAGGTGCCGCAAACTTCACAGAGTTGTTGCCTGCGGCCTCCAGAGGCGTGCCATCAACAAGATATCCTTGGGCGAGCACAGGTCGCATGGGGCAAAGGCAACAACGGCCCGCTCATTACTGACACCAAGCACTAGCGGCGACTACGCAACAGTATCAGCAGAAGCGTGCGATGCACAGTCAAGGAGCCCACGTCAGCCGCATACACGGAGGCTGGTAAGGGTGATCCTGGTGTGTGTTGATCGGGCTGCATCGATTCGGGGTGGTTGATGGCGTTGCCAGCTGCGTTCAACGGCGTGCCATCCGGCAGGTAGCCGACCGAGTTCATGAAGTTGGCCCTTGGCAATGGAGATCCTGGAGTGTGCTTGTCCGGGCCAATGCTTTCAGGATGGTTGATCGCATTCCCTGCCCTGTTGAGCGCAGTGCCATCAGGCAAATAGCCGACATCGTTGCTGAAAAGGAAATCAGCGTACACATCCTTCTGGAAGCTGTACTCGAACTTCCTGCCGTGCATGGCAACGGTGGATCCAGCGGGTGCAGCTGGTGCAGCCGCTGTTGCAGCAGGCATGGTGGCGGGAGCACTGGAACCCACGAAGGCAGCTGCCGCTGCCGCAGGAGGAGATGCCGGCATGTCCTTCACGGAATTGTTTCCGGCAGTCTCCAAAGGAGTGCCGTCCACCAGATAGCCCACGTCCGCCGCGTACACGGAGGCTGGTAAGGGTGATCCTGGCGTGTGTTGATCGGGCTGCATCGATTCGGGGTGGTTGATGGCATTGCCAGCTGCGTTCAACGGTGTGCCATCCGGCAGGTAGCCGACCGAGTTCATGAAGTTGGCCCTTGGCAATGGAGATCCTGGAGTGTGCTTGTCTGGGCCAATGCTTTCAGGATGGTTGATCGCATTCCCTGCCCTGTTGAGCGCAGTGCCATCAGGCAAGTAGCCGACATCGTTGCTGAACTCGAGCTCAGCGTACACATCTTTCTGGAAGCTGTACTCGAACTTCCTGCCGTGCATGGCAACGGTGGATCCAGCGGGCGCAGCTGGTGCAGCCGCTGTTGGAGCAGGCATGGTGGCGGGAGCACTGGAACCCACGAAGGCAGCTGCCGCTGCCGCAGGAGGAGATGCCGGCATGTCCTTCACGGAATTGTTTCCGGCAGTCTCCAAAGGAGTGCCGTCCACCAGATAGCCCACGTCCGCCGCGTACACGGAGGCTGGTAAGGGTGATCCTGGCGTGTGTTGATCGGGCTGCATCGATTCGGGGTGGTTGATGGCATTGCCAGCTGCGTTCAACGGTGTGCCATCCGGCAGGTAGCCGACCGAGTTCATGAAGTTGGCCCTTGGCAATGGAGATCCTGGAGTGTGCTTGTCTGGGCCAATGCTTTCAGGATGGTTGATCGCATTCCCTGCCCTGTTGAGCGCAGTGCCATCAGGCAAGTAGCCGACATCGTTGCTGAACTCGAGCTCAGCGTACACATCTTTCTGGAAGCTGTACTCGAACTTCCTGCCGTGCATGGCAACGGTGGATCCAGCGGGTGCAGCTGGTGCAGCCGCTGTTGGAGCAGGCATGGTGGCGGGAGCACTGGAACCCACGAAGGCAGCTGCCGCTGCCGCAGGAGGAGATGCCGGCATGTCCTTCACGGAATTGTTTCCGGCAGTCTCCAAAGGAGTGCCGTCCGCCAGATAGCCCACGTCAGCCACGTAGGCGGAGGGTGGCAGTGGTGAACCTGCGACATGAGAATCGGGCTGCATCGATTCGGGGTGGTTGATGGCATTGCCAGCTGCATTCAATGGCGTGCCATCCGGCAGGTAGCCGACCGAGTTCACGAAGTTTGCTCGGGGCAACGGGGATCCAGCGATGTGACGGTCCGCAGCCATGGTCTCTGGATGGTTCACCGCATTTCCGGCTTTGTTGAGAGGGGTTCCATCTGGAAGGTAGCCAACGTCGTTGACAAACTCCAGGTCCGCATAGACATTCTTCTGGAAAGCATACTCTGAGACTGCATCCTTGCGGGCAACCTCACAGGTGCTTGCAACCCAAAAAACACACAGGATAAAGCGATGGGTAGCGATACTGTTGCAAGACCCTGAGCCCGGTACCTTGGCTGCCTTCTTGAGGGCGCGCGCACGCCCGGAGACAAGCGTGGCCACCACGATTCCGGCGCAGGCGGCAGGCCAGGTGGTATTGGATTTCGTTCCTGGCGCCGGCTGCGCACTCACCACCTGCGCAGGCAGTCATCATTGCAAGCATTGTCGCTCGATTCTTGTGGGAACAGAGGCACCGAATGGCATCTGAATGGCACTGCCTGAGCAGCAACGCTCTGGCGGGCCACAGTTGTCGATGGAGGTGCAAGGACGAATGCCTGTGCAGGGAAGGGGTTCTGTGTTGCAGCATGGCGCCTCCATAGGATGCAACCTCCCAGTCCCCCGAGTGCCTCAGAGCTTCCGGAAAGGTCGGCCAATCCGCGCAACACCATGGCTGCAGACTCCAGAGACATTCTTCCGTCGCTACTTGCCGCACAAGAGATCTTTTCAAGTCGGAACGACTACGCCCTGACAAAATGCTGCGGTCACATGGAGAGGGAGTCTCAGGACTCCACTTGCCAAAAGACCTCGCATGCTCCCACTCCCGCCGCGGACTTGCAAACTCCACTCAGACAAACCCTTAAGCCTAAACCCTAAACCCTAAACCCCTAAGTACCCTAAGCCCACTGCTTAAGGGACCAGATTCGAATGGCAGCTGCGAGGGCGCTGGCTGACCAGCTGAGGAATGGAGGGCCCCCATCCCACGCGATGGGCCTCTTCAGGAGCCAGAAGCCGGAATTCGGCCCCAAAATCTGGATCCCCCTTCCCCTTCATGAAAGCCCCTTATAGGGAGCAGCTTACGCAGAGTCTTAAACGAAGGCTCTTTCAGGGGAGAGCTTTCGCGATGCACAAGAGAGTAGGAGAGTAGTGTCATGGAAACATGGAATCAGAGCAGCTCACATTGCTTTCAAAGTCTGACGTAGATGGGGGTTTACGAAATTAGGGGTACCTTATTGGGGTCCTTGTTATAAAGGGATCCTACTATTTGGTCTATATTTTCGTCCCCCGTTTTCGGAAACCCCCAGATCGCGTCAGTTGCAATCTCTCTTGTGGCTCCCACCTTTGCGGCCAGTATCTTCTCAGAAGCTGGGGCAGCTTCCGCAAGGCGCAAGCAGCGACGAAGAGCTTTGCCTGGGCAGCACGGGATCTCAAAACCTGTGGCTTTCAGTTGGTCCCATTTGGGGTACCTAGCAAATTACATGTGTGGGGCACTGTACCTCATTCAAAGGCCTGAAGCTAGAGCCTCCTGATGATGACTTGACCCTCTTATAAGGGCCAATAAATCCTCACAACACTAATAACCCAGTCAACCCTAGTTAGAAACCCAATGATGACTCTTGGTGTACTTGTCGGACGCGTTTATAACATGTTAGGCTTCGGCATTTAATGGGGTTTAGGGCAACACGAAGCCACCACCCACAAGACCCCTCACATGACGCCGTGCCGTGATCGGAGTTGATTTTTTTGTACAACCGAGCCTTTGGGTTTTTTTTCGGAGTTCCACATGCTGCGTTTGGCCCCATCATTGAGGGTCCCCTTGCCACAAGTTGCGAGGCGTGACCAGTCAAGACGGCCATGGCTGAACCACCACATGTCACAGGGATGGGCAGGGAGGGGAGGATGCTCTGGGCTTTGAGGGGAAGGCGGTGGTCGGGTTCTTGCAGGGCCTTTTTTGGGGGGGGGCTTCAGGAGTGGTTATACTTGTAAGGCTCACAAGGAGCCAGCCCAAAGGTCTTCAGGGTGCTGGGTACATCCTAGCCTGCAATCACGCGCGGGGCCCACAGTTTCAAGACATCATGGGTTTGACTTGATTCGCTCATGCGGCTGCAGCGTGAAGGCCCCGTGGCTTGGACACGCTTGGACACGATGTTCAATCAGCGAATGCAGTGGGATGTGTCGGAATCAGGCAGTTTGGCCCGATTCCTTGGCCCAAAGACACGAAAGAAGAGTATCAACAAAGCTCTGACAACTCTGCCACACCTACACAGTCTAAGCTAGGGTTCATGCACTCGATCATGGCCCATTTGGGTAGCTTATTGCCCTGTGCTGGGATAGCGAATTCTGGCCATGAGGTAGCCATGCCTTGCTTGTAGTAACCCATTTACTGGACAAGGGCTCGTCCTCTCCCACAACGCTGGGCGCAGGCGACTTCTCCAAGAACGACACCATCTCACACACAAACAGGAGCAGCCTGGAAACAGCGCAGTACAACGGTCCATGCGGTAGCCAACTCAGAATCTACTCCCAAGAAGTTAGGCAACTGAAAATACACAAGAATCATGAATGCAATCACCCGCGGGACGCTCCTCAAGCGCCCTCCTACACCTGAGAGCCCAAGATCCTGACGCCTTCAAGGCTTGCTGTGCTGAGGTCGCTGCGTTCCTGCGCGCACGCCGGCTGCCAGCCGGCCCGAGTAGTATTCCTTCGGGCAAAGCAGGTGCTGGCTCGGAGAAAATCACGAGGCGCGGAGCTGGAGCTGAGGGGCGTCGTGTCCGTTGCCCCACCCAGGTCCCTCCGTCGCGTCTCTGGCTCTGCAGCTTCCCGGGCTAGGGGTCAGGGTTCAGACCTCTTCATGCCCGAAGGGTGGTAACAACATGATTTGCCCACTGCATCCATGTCTAAGAACGCGAAGAATAGAGACAAATCTGGACACAAAATCGAGACGTTCTTAAGTCCTGCGCATCCGGAATTCAATATTTGCATGGAAATCAGAAGTTGACGGCGCAAAAATATTGAGTTTGTCGCTTGTTGTTGCTTCCGAGATGTACACCACGGCAACGAACACTTGAACCATGCTACGTTGTAATTTGTATCCCTAAACCCTAAACCCTAAACCCTAAAACCCTAAAACCCTAAACCCTAAACCCTAAACCCTTGCATGCTTCTCAGCATCCGACCACACCGCCCACGACCCGGCTCTGTCCTGCTCGCCGTAGAGCGCCAAAGGCCTCGGCATGAAACCAAACTGAGGGTGTAGGGTTGAGGTTTTAGGATTTAGGGTTTAGGGTTCAGGGTCCCTCTCCTGATGTCTTGCACCCTAAATCCCTTCAGCTATTGCTCGGCCTAGTGTCCTAATGTCTTGCACCCGAAACCCTAGCCCGCGAACCCTAACACTCAAGAAGAACCGTAAATCTTGGGATGTTCCCCCTTATAAAGGTCCTTAGTAGGGACTATAATTCCCTTAAGCTATTGTTTGGAGGTTCGGACTAGGCCCCTGCCTAAACCCTAAACCCTAAACCCTAAACCCGAAACCCTAAACCCTAAACCCCTAAACCCTTAACCCTTAACCCTTAACCTTTAACCCTTAACCCTTAACCCTGACGAACCCCTAAACCCTAAACCCCCTTCCCCACCAGGCTCCCAGCGATCCCCCAGTCGGCAGCCCCTGCCAGGCCCAGACCTCGGCCAGCGCAAGCTTTGAGTCGTTACGTTCATTGGGGTCTCTAAGACCCTTTACTTGGGAACAGTGCTTAAGAGGGATTGTAGCACGCCCCCCCCCCCCCCCCCCCCTATTGTAATGCCTATCAAGGACTGTTAGTTTTTCGGGAAACAGAAGTCTAAACCCTGCACCCTAAACCCGTTGATTTGATGCAGGGGTGCTCGGGACCAGCTGATAAATACTATGACATTGCGATCTATACTTGAGACCCCCTTTCAAAGACACCTCTGAAGGCGACAAGAATCTGTTGGAGAAGGGAAACTTCGAGGTTGATATGAAACCTGTACAGTAAGCCCTATACACCATATCACGGCCCTTTGCCCTGATCCCTATCAACCCCAAGCCCTATTCTGGTCCCTGTCAACCCCAAACTCTATTGCACACCCCTAGCACCCTATGACCAACAATCCCCAATCAATAAGCTGCAGCTCTAAACCCTCAACCCTGAGCCTTCATCCCTTGACCCAACCACATAAGCCCTCTGAAGCCTATGAACCCAACAAAAGCCGATGCAAGCCCAGACAAATTTGCAAAAGCCGAGAAGACCCTGTCAAACCATACCATAGGCCCCGACAAAACCCCATAAAACCCCAAAACCTTATGCACCCTTCAAAGTCTATAAAGCCCGTGAACCCCATGAACCCCGTAAACTATCAACCCTGGAAGCCCTGTGAACCTAAAACTCTCAGGGAAGGAGCCATGAAGCGCCGGAGCCAATCTCGGGCCACTCGCCGTGCCCTAGAGCTGCCTTTTGACTCCTGTGCTCAGGAAAACGACAGGTTTTAGGGCGTTTTGGTTTTGGGTTTACTGGGGTTGTGGGTTTGTGTTTAGTTGAGGCTGCGAGTCAACTGCTGCTTTCTTAGCTGGTGCTGCGAGAATTTGGGGAACGTCCGCCGAACACAAGAATCCTGGTAGAAGCGGATGGCCATCCGTAGCCACACAACGGTGGGAAACCCACCTTGCAGAGATGGGGTGCAAGAAGACCCCTCCCCCCCGCCCAATCTCACACCTAGAGGGCCCGAAAGCCGCTAAACCCCTCAAACCCTGAGAATCAAAATCCTAAAGGTTAAATATTAATGTCTAGGGTTCAGGGTTTAGGGTGCTAGGGTTTAGGGTTTCGGGTTTCGGGTTGAATTTAGGGTTGCCCCCCCCCCAACCCCCCCCAGGATCCTGGGCAAAAGCGCCTTGGTGAGGCCCGCACCCTGCTTCGTGCCTGGGATGTGCCGAGCCTTCAGCCACATCCTCAGCAAACAGAACCGCGTTCGGGGTGTGGGGTTTAGGGTTTAGGGTTTAGGGTTTAGGGTTTAGGGTTTAGGGTTTAGGGTTTAGGGTTTAGGGTTTAGGGCTACTTGGAGGTTCATGGTACTTCTTAACCAACTACATCTGTACTTATGACCATCTTGGGGCACTTAAGGGGCTGACAAGTGGGTTGTAGGTACAGTTATCATTGGTTAGCAAGCACCATGAACCTCCAAGTAGCCCTAAACTCTAAACCCTAAACCCTAAACCCTAAACCCTACATCGGGCCTGAGGCCTCCGCTTGACAAGGCGAAGCATGGCGGAGAGTTCAGGCCCAGCAGTTCGCCTGGGCTCGGGGTTCGAAGTTAGGGTTTATAAGGTTTAGGGTTTAGGGTTTAGGGTTTAGGGTTTAGGGTTTAGGGTTTGGGGTTTGGTTAGGGGTTTAGGGTTTAGGCAACCATGCAAACTGGAAAGATAGGGTTGCGCATGTTGCGTGCATGCACCTACCTGCAAATCTGCAGGTGCCTCCTGCTGCTGCTGCTGCTGCTGCTGCTGCTGCTGCTGCTGCTGCTGCTGCTGCTGCTGCTGCTGCTGCTGCTGCTGCTGCTGCTGCTGCTGCATTTTCGTACGTATCTGGGAGTTGAACATGGGCACGGGATGCGCATGCCTGGATTCAACGGCACATCCATACACTGCACGAATCTGCTAAACACCTTGCCTTCGCATTGCACTACGTATCACCACTCCCAGGCCACCGCCTACTCACCTTTGTTGAACCTCCAAAGCATCCAGCATCTGGAGCTGAGCTCCCCAACAGAGCGTAGCGAAACAGTAGTATGTCGCGGACGGAGGACATCTGATTCCTGAGCTCCACATGCCGATTTTCGCAACAATGTGACACCACAGACAAACCTGACCGATCTGCAAGAACCCCTAAACCCTAAACTCTAGCCCGTAACCCCTGAACCCTAAACCCTAAATCCTAAACCCTAAACCCTAAACCCTAATCTGAGTCTTGTCGACAAACATGTCTCTTGCTGCACACTGTGCCATCGCTGAGACCAAGGCAGCGTCAAGTCGACGGAGAGGCCTGTACGGAGCAGGGTGTCGTGGTTTAGGGTTTAGGGTTTAGGGTTTAGGGTTTAGAGTTTAGGGTTTAGGGTTTAGGTTTTAGGGTGAGGCGCGCTCCCACAACTGGGCCACAACTGGGTTTGGGGCTTTCGGGATGTTTGGGGTTAAACTTCGGGGCCCAGGTCTGAGAGCGGTATGAAGCCCGGAAGGGCTTTTGCCATCGGGGGCGTCTGAGTGTGAGTGACGGCAAGGCACAACGGATCAACTCCCCCATACTCCCCCCGTCACCTGCCAGTCGAAAGGAGAGCAGCGGAACAGCTACCTGTTGCATACACAGGTTGTGGTTTTCATGCGGCTGAGGGCTATGTAGGGTGACCAGGGACACCCGGATACACCCGGTGCGAAGTGAAGTGGAAGTGGCACAAGGCTTCACACGGCCGCGATTCAGGGACCCTATTGCCATGAACGTAATGGAACACTGGCGCTTCTTGGGCGACAGGCAAAGAATCTAAGAATGAAACACCTGGGACCACCCACTCCGCCCCTCGTTTCCTTTTTCAAGGGTACTGGAAAGATCAGGGAAGGCCTGCTCCAGCAAGAGCACGTCGACGGCCTTATCGGCCTGCTCTTGGTAATTTGGGGAATTTGTCAGATGGAAGTCACGCACTGGCGCATACATGTGTTTTTTTCTTACCATCTTCTCCAGGCACTTCTTTGATACAGGGTGCTCACAGATCCCTAAACCCTAAACAGTAAACCCTAAACCCTAAACCCTAAACCCCAAACCCTAAACCCTAAACGCCCTCTGCAGAGATTCGCCTTGACCAAGGCTTCCGTAACGGCAGCCAGAGCCGTTTTGGGATTCACCTGCGAGTCCCCAGAAGGCCCTAGTCGCATGGTCCCCCTGGTTCCTAGCAGGGACTGAGGGAAGTAATTAGGGCCCTGTATATATATGTATGTACATACATATATATGTATATATACACATATATATATATATATACATTTATATATATATATATATATACCCTTTAAGGGATTCTATAGGGCACCTCATTCCCTCATTCCCTACTAAGAACCAGCCAGTAGTCACGACGATTCCTGCGACGGCTCTAGCCAGCGTTGTCAGGGCCACGCCAACCTCCACGTCGCAGCAGAGCACCAAATCCAGGTCGGACCTTAGTTGGCAGAGGCAGGCGGCATAGAGTTGAGGGTTTAGGGTTTAGGGTTTAGGGTCTAGGGTCCAGGGTTGAGGGTTTAGGGTTTGGGGTTTCGGGTCCTAAGATGCTCATCAGCTTGGCCGTAACCGTGCTTGCTCCCTGAACCCTCACCCCGCCACAGTCTGGAAGCCTCAAGCTCCCGGCCCTCCGACGTCCGCACCCAGGCCTGAAGACACTCATTTAGGCGGGAAACTAGACTTCGATATATTGCATTATATATATATATATATACATATATATATATATATTTATATTTATATTTGTTTATGTGTATATATATATACATATTCAGTATATGCTGATGTACATCTTTTTCCTTTTTTGGAATATTTAGGGTTCAGTACCTGGAGAGGCTTAAGGCTTCAGGGGGGGCTCTTCCTGAACTAGGGTCTCCTACTGGGCATCTTGTAATTCAGGATTTTTCTGGGACTCCTTAGAAACTAAACAGGAGTGCCCCAGGCCCACAAAAAAGAGGACTAGGGCTTTGGGTCGAAGTCTAGGAGTTTCGAGATCATGTTGAACAACTCCCATATGAACGTCCACCGAATCCCCTGCGCAGACGCCTTCCAGAAGCCCTGACATGTTGAATTGCAATACACATGGCATTACCTCAGAGTCCAAGAACCTTCCACTTAAAATTCGAACTGCTTCTGTTTGTATTTGACCATGGCGAACGATGCTGCAACGATGTCTGCTCATTATCTCTCTTTAGCTGTCCTTTGAAGATGCACTAGGAAACTCCTCCAAGCTATCTCTCTACCTCGATAGGTTAAGGTTATCCCAACGAACCCAAAAACATCGACATCCGGGCGCATGGCCCATGCTACCGGCCACCACCACCCTCGGGTCAGGGCCGAGTACTGCCAGGGTCTGAACCTCGTGGCCCCAAGGTTTAGGACTTAGGGCATGCATACATACATACATACATACATACATACATAAATACATACATACATACATACATAAGCACATGCACCACGTACATGTTTTCATATGCACACACATGCATGCAACGTGTGTATGTTATATCCACACCGGCATTTGTCGAACCCCCCCCCCTTCTGTGGTTCATGGCGTGTTCGAACATGTTAGAACTTCGGGCGGGCTTGAGGGTTTAGGATCTCGAGTTTTCACCCCCCCCCCCCCCAACCCGAGAGTGCGTAAAAAAGAGGCCTGCGGATATTCAAGGTAACCGCCCCCCCCCCCCCCTCCCCCCCCCCCCCCCCCCCCCCCCCCCCCCCCCCCCCCCCCCTTCCCCAACAAACCCCCTCCCCCTCCCCCCCCCCCCCCCCCCCCCCCAAGAAAGGGGGGGGGGGGGCCCCCCCCCCCCCATGCTCAATTCCACATTTCCTCTGCCATGTTTGGTAGGATTCCTATTGCTTTTTATTCGGAATCCTTCTAATTTCAAGAGGATTTCTATTAATGTAACAAGATTTCTATTTGCCTTCTTTTTTCGTAGCATTTCTAATCGGACTTCTACTAATTTTAATAGCAGTTCAATCAATTGTAATAGGAGTTGAACTTAATTCGACAAGGATTTCTATTATTTCAATACGAATCCCGTTAAACCGAATACAAATCTTATTAGAAGGGATAAAAATCTCATTCATATTATTAGAAATCTTTCAAAAGTAACAAAAACCCGATTAGAATCAAAAGAAGTCCTATTAAAACGTTAATTAAAATCAAGTGAAACCCTATTAAGAACACTGTTATTGACCAGGGGGGGCCCCCCCCCCCTTGAACAAGGGGGGGGGGGGGCCATTGAACAAGAGAGGGGGGGGGGGGGGGGGGGGGGGGGGGGGGGGCTGGCTTATGTTCCCGCAGGCCGCAGTGGCGCGCACTATCCCCAACCCTGTGGTTCATGGTGGATTTACAGCTTGGGTTTAGGCTAGAGATGAAGGTTTGCAGTTTCCCTCTTCCCTCTTCCCCCCCCGTGGTTGGTGGCGGTGTATTTTCATGGCGGGCTCAGGGTGAGTTAGGTTTAACTTGGATGGTTCCCCCCACCCCGATCTGGGTTTAGGGTTTGGGCCCCAAAGCCCTCAAGCCCTAAGCCCAAACCCTAAAGCATACCAAACCTCCTTCATACCTGTGAGCCCCAAACCGCGCCACAGCCACGATCAGTGGGGGGGAGGGGCTGGTACTTGGATCATCCCTCGCACCTAAACCCTAAAACCCGAGCCCAAAAAAGCCAAGCCCGACAAGGGGGGGGGGGGGGGGGCAGCGCGTGACCAGATATCCTGCCCATAAATATATATATATATATATATATATAAACTCACAATTTCGTATAAAACAAACTCACCAACAACAGCGGCAAAGGCCCCAGCTCATAACCCCAAAACCTAAACCACAGACGCTGAACCCCGTATCCAAGGCGAATCCCGTGAGCATCCTGAAGCCGTAAGCTGCTGGCCAGGGTTGTGACCTGCTTGGGGGGCATTTAAAGGGTTAAATGTCGAGTCTTGGTTGATTTGGGACAGGGTTTTGGAGGCTTTTAGGGTTTCCAGACAGGGAAAGCTTGCATAAGGCCTCAGATCAGTTGGGGATCACCCTACTCTTGCCCCACAGCTTCTCACAGTGCTCCCATGCCGCCACCTGCGCCAGCACGTCACGCACTTGGCGCGGCAATGGGGGAAGCGGCGAGGGAGGCGGCGGCTCGTCCGTCGTGCCTTGACGTGTCGGGGGGAGGTTTAGGGAGGGGGGGGGTAAAGGGGGGCGGGGGGGGGATTAGGGCATGGAATTAAGGAGCCCAACTCTGCCGCCTCACACCACCAGTCTCCTCATCCCGAAGTTTCGAGCGAAGCTTCACATTCCCAGAACATCTTCACCCCTCACGGAAGCCACAGACATGAGCCCCCCCGCCCCGCCTGAACTCCCCACCTTCCGCCCTCTCGACGTTTTATGCTTTTCCACCCTGTGACATGCTCCAGGACGTTTCGGCAGAAGTAAGGAAGGTAGAACATTTTACGAACATTGCGACTGCCCAAGTCCTCCCCAAACCAGGCGCTCGCTGGAAAAAATCTTGCAAGCAGGCGGCGCAGGAAATCAAGAGGAAGCCCCAGCTCGCAGCTCTCGCGCAGGGTCTCCAGCATTGACCGGAAGGCACCCTGGGACTGTTCGTCCATGTCCCTGTCTGCCTGGAAAGCTGCCTGGTGCTTTGGAGAGTAGACGGAGCGAACGCAGTCCACAAAGCTAAGAAGGTCGTCAAACATCCTCTGATGCCACCACACAAACCCCCAGAGTTGAATCCAGGAGCGGTGTCGACGCGAGATGGGCACATGCAGGTAGCGGCACTTGGGCTTGAAACAGCCTGCCGGTGTCTGCGCTGCCCAGCAAACGCTGGTCATCTGCAGGGGGACGGACTGCTGAACCTGACCGCCCTCCTTGCGGCCCCCCTGGAGTCCTTGGAGTCCTTGGAGTCCTTGGAGTCCTTGGAGTCCTTGGAGGTGCGAAGACTTCAGAATCTCCCTGAGCTGCCGGATGCTCTCTGCAGCCGAGGTGTGGTGGACGAAGATGCCACCACGGGCCTCCCAGGCCTCCCGCAGGTCCCCGCGGTCGTCGATCAGCACGCAGCCCTGGCCACTGAACTTCTGCTTGTTCCGAGTGCCACAGCAGTAGACCGGCACCTCAGACCCCAGCTTCTCCTGGCACCACAGCTCCTTCTGCTTCGCCGCCATCTGCCCGGCTCGGCCCATAGGGAGGCCTGTGAGAACTGCGGGCGTGGGGACGATGTTCCAGTCGATCCACCTCCAAAGCTCCTCTCCATCAGAGGTCCAGTCAAGCGAGAGGAAGAAGTCCGTCTTTCCCTCAATGCGCCGCCACATCTCACTCTCCTCCAAACCACATGCAAGCAAGTCTGCTGTCGCATCTTGACCCACGTCACAACATGATGCACGAGACTGCTGGAGATTGGAGCTGCTTCTCCAGGTGTACTATGGCGTATCCAGCTGCGCACATAATTTAGCATGACTCTCGAAGAACCTGCTCCTTAACACCAACATGGTGGCCTGCACAGCGGATCGAAAGTATAAAAATGTAAGACATGCAGACTACATGCATCATACATCCTCCTCCCAAGTGAGCTTCGTGACGGTGTGGGTCGGAATTTTGTCGGCAATTGGCCCACCCTCGGGGAAGAGGGCAAGGCAACCCTTGTTGAAGTCTGCCAGCACGCCATCCAGGTCGCAGTACACTTGCAAGTGCGGAGCCTCACAGACTCACAGAAGAGCAGCGTCGGACCGTGTCGGGGTTATGTCGGGTTCTGCAAGGAAAACACACTCCAAGGGTTCAGGGGCTTGAGGGATTTTGAGGGTTTAGGGTCTGGTGCTAACCCGCCCTTGACATCCGCGGTCCTCCTGGGTCTTGGTTTTTGGCACATCCACGGGCCGGTATGGGCCGCAGAGGTGAGGTGCGTGCAGGCCCGGCTGGAACCGAGGTGGGGCGTAAGACAGGGCCATGTGCCCTTGCACATGGCACAGGCCATGGGGACTACGAGGCTACATAAACTTCGGCAGGGTCTGACAAGGCAGGCTTGGAGGTATCCGAAGCATCCCGGCACTGTCTTTGCGGCTGCCTGCCGGGCTTTGGCTGTGTTGTGGATGCAGTGCTTTCCTGCTTTGAGTCTTTGCTTAGCACTCGGACCTACTGCAGATTGGGAACCTGAATCTCACGCAGGCGGGTCACTCATCACGTGCGGGTGCCGCCCGGAGCCATCATTGATTTCGTGGCAACATCAGATCACAGAGCGGATGTTCTCTGGAAATGTTCCCCGGTCAGGGGGACCCTATGGCCCCACGACACGCAGATCCGATCTTTCAGAGTCGGAGAACTCTTACATGACCCTGTCACTCCAGCTCCCTCCACAGGGAGCTTGCGACTTGCATCTGGACACTGTGCCAATGAATAAAATTAAGCCGGAGTGGCCGGGCAAGGGTTGAGGCAAGGAAGCAAACGAATCTGCGACGTAGCTTCCGGAAAGGTCGTTCCCAGAGGCCCTAGTCGCCACTAATTTTGAGGGTTTCTATGAGGCTTCGCTCAGTGTGAAACGTGCACTTCACCTCCGCTTCAGATGAGCATTTCGGACAGGCGGCGATCCTCTATGGCATGTCAAGTCGGTAGAACATACAAGAACTGCGGCAACTGCAATGCTGCCAGTGATTTAGAGCGCTGACATGTGCAGCACATACGCCGACTGCAGGCTGAAACGTCGTCGCCTCTAGATTCGCCCGCAGCCGCCCTTCGCCCGTACCCGCCCTAGCTTTCACAGGCCGGGCATCGGCAATGTTGACCTTGTCGCCGAGCCCGAGCGCTTTCACCACGGCGGCGGACTGCAGCGAGGACAGGGTCGCCGACTATCATGGCTTCTGATCCTTCATGACTCTGAGGCACCCACGTCCTCTTGGGGCACGCCCTTGATGTCAATCTTGCCCTGGCGCAGGCACGAATAATGAAGCAAGACCCGCTGGGTTTGTCTGGCGACCGGTCTGCATCGAACATCGGCTGATATCTGCTGAGCACCGGGCGCCCACGGGCACCGAGAGCTTCCCGGCGTTCTTGGCGGAAGTGACGGCCTGGCCGCCGGATCTCTCAATCACCGCGAGATTAAGGCTGACGTGATGCGCACCAAGACATTCAACACTGACCGATGCACTGAGGATGGGGCACCCTTGTCCACCTCCGCCTTAGGAGGGGGGACCTCGGCACCGGCCTGGCGTGACGCACCCTGTGACGCCCCCTGTGACGATCCTGTGACGGTGCGCGGCCAGCCTTCTCCAGCGTCGCCTCCGCCGTCTTCGTGTCCCCCTTGCCAGTGGACTTGGCAATTGCTTGCCTTGGTTCAAAAAGGGTCTGCCGGTTCTGCTCATGGACCGTGGGACCGTGTTGTGTCCTGATCTCAAGGTGCACATCCGAGGCTCATTTGCTTCTGCCTCGCCTTCTCCTCCGCCTCCGCTGCCTTCGACGTCTTGTACTCCGAGAAGGCCTGCTCAGAAGCTAGCACGAGTTCGATCTTGCTGAAACTCCGGTTACTTGTAGCTTGTCAAGTCAAAGCCAAGCCAACCGCCACCTCGAGGTCGACGGCATCTTCCGTCTGGCTCCAGTACAAGTTCTTGTGGACAAAGAGGTAGCCAACGTCCGACGTGTTCTAGCAGAGACGACAGGTTTCGATGCTGGGGAAAGTGTGGGGTTCGTGCTGGCGGGGCTCGGGGAAGGGCTTACTCCACATTACTCCACTTATCGACTCGCGTCTGCTCGCGTGTCCCTCCATGCCGCCCGTCCTGGCAGGTCTTAAGGGAATCGAGAGCACCGACATGGCCCATGCCCTCGACCACCAGCTTCGTAGTCTCGCCGAGCTTCAGGTTAAACGGGCCCATAATGGGTGTGGTGACGAGGGAATCCTTCAGATTGCCCTCGTTGAGCTTGTTCATTCCCGCAAAACACTTGTCAATGGGTCCCGAATAGATGTTTGCCAGCGACCCAAGGTTGGGCTGCAAGATCTGCATGACCACGCCGTAGGTGGCAATCAGTCCCTTGGTCATGCCCACAACGTCCGCACTGCAGACCACACCTGGAACGCAGTTGGCGGCGAACTCGTGGTCGGCATGGGCGGTGTTCTGGAAGATGCTGAAGTAGGTGCAGCCTGCCGTGCCCATCTTGTTCATATTCTTCTCTGCCACCGGACTGCAACCAGTGTCCTTGAAGATCGTCTTGGCAAGCTCATCAGTAGGACCGTAGAGGGTGTTCGTGTTGATGCCGTTCTGAACCTCCATGGCAGCGCCTGCCCGGATGCGGGAGCTCAGTTCACGCAAGCGCGACCTCGAAACCCCAAACCCAAAAACTTTCCAAAACCCCTCGACCAGCGCATGTTCCACATGTTCCAGCAACAAGGAAAGCAGTCCCGGCGTTTCCCTGCCTTGGTTCTCGTCACAACAGCTGCCCATCATCCTTCAGTTCTGATCAATCTATATACGATCTGCCATCTACTGTCTGCTTCCAGTCTGTTGCGGCTGCCAGACCCACAGCCCAGGGGCCAAAAAAAGAACACCTAAAACCCAAGCGAAACGCGCTTCCATGCAAAACGCAGCTGCTGGAGCGAACCCAGAGTTGGGCTCATGGTTTTGACCTCCTCAACGTAGTCCTGCCACGGCGCAAGGCCACGCAACGCGATGCAACTCTAACATGCATATGAGACTCTATATGGGCTTCCGCAAAGAGTGCCAGGCCTTGATGGTCTTGTCCGCGAGCGCCTGAATCAAACGCTGTTCCAGCAGGTTTCAGCATCAATTTTCGCACCTGCCCTGCCACCTGCCCTGCCACCTGCCCTGCCACCTGCCCTGCCACCTGCCCTGCCACCTGCCCTGCCACCTGCCCTGCCACCTGCCCTGCCACCTGCCCGCGAAGGAGCCTCTCCAGTCACCGTCACGGAGGCGCGGGCCCAGGCGGAAGCGCGGGCCACCAGCCCGAGGCACAAGACCTGAGTTCTCTGAAAGTGGGGGGGGGGGGGGTGGGGGGACTCGACATGACTCGACCGGCTGCGACACTGACACCGAGCAGTGGCCGAGGGAAGTTTTCTGGAGGCACGTACGTGAGCCCCAGGCGTTGAACAGCGACATGATCGATCAAGCAGAGAAAGGCCGACACCCGGGCAGAGCTGAACCAAGCTTGCTTCGGGGACGACCTCTAGGCTGGCAGGCAAGGCCGCACAGTTTTGAACCTTTTTTATGTACCAACATGCGAGTCTAACTGCGTCTCATGTATGACTGCATGGCCACGGACATCACTCTGACACGTCGGCCGACCGTTCTGTCATGGTTGGGTCGAAAGGGGGGATGAAGGGCTCAACAAACTTAAAACCTCTTGAAGCTGTTATATCGACACCATATATTAAAAGTGTCTCGATGTATGACTGCATGCATAAGTTGACGATAGAACGGTACATCGCATATGAGCCGTGGCAAACAGAGCAACCCCACCCCCCACCCTCTGAGGCTTCTTTGGTAGCTTCTTTCGTGAAAACCCAGAGGCCATGCCTCATGTATAGCAAACCGGCATGAGCATGGCAGGTCCCAAGCCAGACGCAAGCACGACACCGGTTGTGCGACAACTTTCGCAGACTTAATTAGCACGTTCCTCTCGTGCACCTTTGCTTTGGCTTGTTACAAACAATGGCGGGCCAATCACAATCCGTAAGCCTGCCAATCTTCTACATGAAGTACTGCGCAAACGGGCGCTTCTACGGACTTAGGTGTCCCACTAGCTCCCTCTCGCAATAGCACGAACCTTGCGTTTTGCATCAGCTGCTCAAATGAGATCGGAGGCCAAAACAAGCCGGAGTGGCTGGACAGACAACAAATCGCATCCATGTGCGGTAGTGGGGCAAGGAAGCGAACGAACCTGCGACGTAGAATTCAAAAGTGTCCTAACCACCCTAACCTCAATTCTTGAAAGGTCGCTCCCACAGGAGGCGGTCCCTGGTCGCAGCTCGTCTCAGAGAAATTAATTATGAGGCTTTGCTCAGTGTGAATGAAGCGTGCACATCGCCTCCACTTCAAATGAGCATCTCGGACAGGCGACGATCCTCTGCAACTCCAGATCATTGGCTTTTCATGGTGTTGGGTGCTGCTGGCGTGCACTCTGCTGCCAGTGGAATATGTGGAATCACAGCACCATCATGTTCTGCTAGTGGAAGCGCAACGCCGACATAGGCAGACAAACGCCGACTACGAAGGATGTCAGATACTACCCTCTACCCTGGACCATGATCATGACCTTCCCATCTTTCCCCAAGCTGCCTCATCCCTTACCCCTATTACTAAACAGGCGGGCCCCCCCCCCCCCACACCCCCTCCAATAGAAACTCGAAATGAAATGTGTTTTCAATGTTAGCGGGATGTTTTATCCATGTGCAATCTTTTGGGATAGGGTTTAGATTGGCCTGAAGGTTTTTGAGGCCCCTGAACCCCCCCAAATTCGGAATAGGTTTTAAAAAGGCGGGGTCGGTTTCGGCAGGACTTTGTTGAGGTAGCGGAGCCTGCAGCAGGGCAGGCGCACCTCTCGCCTAAGCGCGGGGGTTGCCCGCGGAATTCGGGGGATTCAAGGGTCGCGGCGTCCATCATGAAAATTCAAGGCTTTAGAGTTAGTTATGCTCCTGCGACGCGATGCATCGCGCTCTCGCCTACATCCCAGGCACATCCATGGCCGTGATGGCCCAAATCGCGGCTCCCGCCTAGGTCCTGTGCACTACCGTTCAGTTGTTGAGGCTTGATTCGCTGCACGTCACGCAATGGCACGCGGCGTGCCAGAATGGCGCTCCCGCCTCTGGCTCTTGGGGCATCGTAATCCCTTCCCCCTTGTATTCAACGTACCCAAACCACTTTCCGGAAAATCCCCCTTACTTTTAGCTGAGAATTACTCACATATTCGCCCGTAGCCGCCCTTCGCCCTTAGCCGCCCTAGCTTTCAAAGGCCGGGCGTCGGCAATGTTGACCTTGTCGCCGAGCCCGAGCGCTTTCACCACGGCGGCGGACTGCAGCGAGGACAGAATCGCCGAACATCATGGCTTCTGATCCCTTCATGACTCTGAGGCACCCACGTCCTCTTTGGGCACACCCTTGATGTCAATCTTGCCCTGGCGCAGGCACGGAGAATCAAGCGAGACCCTACACCCTCGGTTTGTCTGGCGACCTGTCTGCACGTCGGTCCGTCGGCATGCTCTGCTGACATCGGTTGACATCTGCTACTTATCTGCTGATATCTGCTGAGCACCGGGCGCCCACGGGCACCGAGAGCTTCCCGGCGTTCTTGGCGGAAGTGACGGCCTGGCCGCCGGATCTCTCAATCACCGCGAGATTAAGGCTGACGTGATGCGCATCAACACATTCAACACTGACCGATGCACTGAGGATGGGGCACCCTTGTCCACCTCCGCCTTAGGAGGGGGGACCTCGGCACCGGCCTGGCGTGACGCATTCTGCGACGCCCCCTTGTGTGGCTCCCGTGACGGTGCGCGGCCAGCCTTCTCCAGCGTCGCCTCCGCCGTCTTCGTGTCCCCCTTGCCAGTGGACTTGGCAATTGCTTGCCTTGGTTCAAAGGGTCTGCCGGTTCTCATGGACCGTGGGACCGTGTTGTGTCCTGATCTCAAGGTGCACATCCGAGGCTCATTTGCTTCTGCCTCGCCTTCTCCTCCGCCTCCGCTGCCTTCGACGTCTTGTACTCCGAGAAGGCCTGCTCAGAAGCTAGCACGAGTTCGATCTTGCTGAAACTCCGGTTACTTGTAGCTTGTCAAGTCAAAGCCAAGCCAACCGCCACCTCGAGGTCGACGGCATCTTCCGTCTGGCTCCAGTACAAGTTCTTGTGGACAAAGAGGTAGCCAACGTCCGACGTGTTCTAGCAGAGACGACAGGTTTCGGTGCTGGGGAAAGTGTGGGGTTCGTGCTGGCGGGGCTCGGGGAAGGGCTTACTCCACATTACTCCACTTATCGACTCGCGTCTGCTCGCGTGTCCCTCCAGGCCGCCCGTCCTGGCAGGTCTTAAGGGAATCGAGAGCACCGACATGGCCCATGCCCTCGACCACCAGCTTCGTAGTCTCGCCGAGCTTCAGGTTAAACGGGCCCATAATGGGTGTGGTGACGAGGGAATCCTTCAGATTGCCCTCGTTGAGCTTGTTCATTCCCGCAAAACACTTGTCAATGGGTCCCGAATAGATGTTTGCCAGCGACCCAAGGTTGGGCTGCAAGATCTGCATGACCACGCCGTAGGTGGCAATCAGTCCCTTGGTCATGCCCACAACGTCCGCACTGCAGACCACGCCTGGAACGCAGTTGGCGGCGAACTCGTGGTCGGCATGGGCGGTGTTCTGGAAGATGCTGAAGTAGGTGCAGCCTGCCGTGCCCATCTTGTTCATATTCTTCTCTGCCACCGGACTGCAGCCAGTGTCCTTGAAGATCGTCTTGGCAAGCTCATCAGTAGGTCCGTAGAGGGTGTTCGTGTTGATGCCGTTCTGAACCTCCATGGCAGCGCCTGCCCGGATGCGGGAGCTCAGTTCACGCGAGCGCGACCTCGAAACCCAAACCCAAAAATTTTCCGCAACCCTCGGCCAGCCCACAATTCCAGATGTTCCAGCAACAAGGAAAGCAGTCCCGGCGTTTCCCTGCCTTGGTTCTCGTCACAGCAGCTGCCCATCATCCTTCAGTTCTGATCAATCAGTGATTAATCTATACGATCTGCGATCGACTGTCCGTTGCGGCTGCCAGACCCACAGACAAGGGCCAAAAAAAACACTTAAAACCCAAGCGAAACGCGCTTCCATGCAAAACGCAGCTGCTGGAGCGAACCCAGAGTTGGGCTCATGGTTTTGACCTCCTCAACGTAGTCCTGCCACGGCGCAAGGCCACGCAACGCGATGCAACTCTAACATGCATATGAGACTCTATATGGGCTTCCGCAAAGAGTGCCAGGCCTTGATGGTCTTGTCCGCGAGCGCCTGAAAACAAACGCACGGCATCTCGCGCCAGCAGCAATTTTCGCACCTGCCCTGCCACCTGCCACCTGCCCTGCCCGCGAAGGAGCCTCTCCAGTCACAGTCACGGAGGCGCGGGCCCAGGCGGAAGCGCGGGCCACCAGCCCGAGGCACAAGACGTTGAACAGCGACATGATCAACGGCAGGCTGAAGAACCAGGGCAGAGCTGAGCCAGGCTTGCTTCGGCGACTTAGGCCCTCTGAAAGGCTCTACTGTCTGCCTTCCCCTTGAAAGTACCGTGAACGTATTCTGTATCGATAGTGAGCGACAGGCGCCCCTGTTCCCTTAATGTACGAGACGGTCGAGGCGCAGCGATCGCTGCGCTAACAATACGATTATATTCGATTCGCGACATGTTCCGTTCGACATGACCTCAGGCATCAGATCACCGAGTAGACGTTCACTGGAAATTTTCCACGTTCAGTGGGACCCTATGGCCCCACGACACACAGGTGCGATCTTTCAGAGTTCGACAACTCGGAAAGCATGACCCGGTCACTCCAGCTCCTTCTCACCACGTGGGGAGCTTGCAACTTGCATCTGGACACGTCGTGCCAAAGAATAGAACTAAGCCGGAGTGCCCGGGCAAGCGTCAAATCGTACAGGGAATCAATGTGCAGTAGTGAGGCAAGGAAGCTAACGAACCTGCGACGCAGAATCCAAAATCGTCCTGGGCTTCTTGAAAGGTCTCTCCCAGAGTCACTGGTCGCAGCTCATTTCTGAGGTTTCTATGAGGCTTCGCTCAATGTGAAACGTGCACTTCACCTCCGTTTCAGATGAGCGTCTCGGACAGGCGGCGATCCTGTCCGGCATGTCTAGTCAACATGGAAGAACTGCGGCAACTGCAGTGGAGCTTATTGGGTGCTGCTGCTTGCAGCCTGCTACCGGTGATTTAGAACGCCGACATCTGCAAACATACGCCGACTGAAACATCGTCGTCCATATTTGCCCTAGGCCCTGTCGCCGCCCTAGGCCCTGTAGCGCCCTAGCTTTCAAAAGCCGGGCGTCGGCAATGTTGACCTTGTCGCCGAGCCCGAGCGCTTTCACCACGGCAGCAGACTGCAACGAGGACAGAGTCGCCGAACATCATGGCTTCTGATCCCTCATGACTCTGAGGCACCCACGTCCTCTTGGGGCACACCCTTGATGTCAATCTTGCCCTGACGCAGGCACGAATAATGGGTTTGTCTGGCGACCGGTCTGCATCGAACGTCGGCTGACATCTGCTGATATCTGATGAGCACCGCGCGCCCACGGGCACCGAGAGCTTCCCGGCGTTCTTGGCGGAAGTGACGGCCTGGCCGCCGGATCTCTCAATCACCGCGAGATTAAGGCTGACGTGATGCACATCAACACTGACCGATGCACTGAGGATGGGGCATCCTGGTCCACCTCCGCCTTAGGAGCGGGGACCTCGGCACCGGCCTGGCGTGACGCACCCTGCGACGCCCCCTTGTGTGGCTCCCGTGACGGTGCGCGGCCAGCCTTCTCCAGCGTCGCCTCCGCCGTCTTCGTGTCCCCCTTGCCAGTGGACTTGGCAATTGCTTGCCTTGGTTCAAAGGGTCTGCCGGTTCTCATGGACCGTGGGACCGTGTTGTGTCCTGATCTCAAGGTGCACATCCGAGGCTCATTTGCTTCTGCCTCGCCTTCTCCTCCGCCGCCGCTGCCTTCGACGTCTTGTACTCCGAGAAGGCCTGCTCAGAAGCTAGCACGAGTTCGATCTTGCTGAAACTCCGGTTACTTGTAGCTTGTCAAGTCAAAGCCAAGCCAACCGCCACCTCGAGGTCGACGGCATCTTCCGTCTGGCTCCAGTACAAGTTCTTGTGGACAAAGAGGTAGCCAACGTCCGACGTGTTCTAGCAGAGACGACAGGTTTCGGTGCTGGGGAAAGTGTGGGGTTCGTGCTGGCGGGGCTCGGGGAAGGGCTTACTCCACATTACTCCACTTATCGACTCGCGTCTGCTCGCGTGTCCCTCCAGGCCGCCCGTCCTGGCAGGTCTTAAGGGAATCGAGAGCACCGACATGGCCCATGCCCTCGACCACCAGCTTCGTAGTCTCGCCGAGCTTCAGGTTAAACGGGCCCATAATGGGTGTGGTGACGAGGGAATCCTTCAGATTGCCCTCGTTGAGCTTGTTCATTCCCGCAAAACACTTGTCAATGGGTCCCGAATAGATGTTTGCCAGCGACCCAAGGTTGGGCTGCAAGATCTGCATGACCACGCCGTAGGTGGCAATCAGTCCCTTGGTCATGCCCACAACGTCCGCACTGCAGACCACGCCTGGAACGCAGTTGGCGGCGAACTCGTGGTCGGCATGGGCGGTGTTCTGGAAGATGCTGAAGTAGGTGCAGCCTGCCGTGCCCATCTTGTTCATATTCTTCTCTGCCACCGGACTGCAGCCAGTGTCCTTGAAGATCGTCTTGGCAAGCTCATCAGTAGGTCCGTAGAGGGTGTTCGTGTTGATGCCGTTCTGAACCTCCATGGCAGCGCCTGCCCGGATGCGGGAGCTCAGTTCACGCAAGCGCGACCTCGAAACCCCAAACCCAAAAACTTTCCGAAACCCCTCGACCAGCGCATGTTCCAGATGTTCCAGCAACAAGGAAAGCAGTCCCGGCGTTTCCCTGCCTTGGTTCTCGTCACAACAGCTGCCCATCATCCTTCAGTTCTGATCAATCTATATACGATCTGCGATCTACTGTCTGCTTCCAGTCTGTTGCGGCTGCCAGACTCACAGACAAGGGCCAAAAAACAACTTAAAACCCAAGCGAAACGCGCTTCCATGCAAAACGCAGCTGCTGGAGCGAACCCAGAGTTGGGCTCATGGTTTTGACCTCCTCAACGTAGTCCTGCCACGGCGCAAGGCCACGCAACACCATGCAAATCTAACATGCTTATGAGACTCTATGGGCTTCCTCAAAGAGTGCCAGGCCTTGATGGTCTTGTCCGCGAGCGCCTGAAAACAAACGCACGGCATCTCGCCCCAGCAGGTTTCAGCATGAAGTAGGCACTCGCACCTGTCCTGCCACCTGCCCTGCCACCTGCCCTGCCACCTGCCCTGCCCGCGAAGGAGCCTCTCCAGTCACCGTCACGGAGGCGCGGGCCCAGGCGGAAGCGCGGGCCACCAGCCCGAGGCACAAGACCTGAATTCTCTGCTAGCTTGGCGGGGGGGGGGAGGGCGGGGACTCGACGTGACTCGACCGGCCGCGACACTGCGCAACCGAGCAGTGGCCAAGGGAAGTTCTCTGGACACACTTGAGCTCCAGGCGTTGAACAGCGACATGATCAATGGAAGGCTGAGAATCAGGGCGGAGCTGAGCCAAGCTTGCTTCGGCGGCAACCGTGAACCTACTGATATATGATGACAATGATATATGTATATGATAGTGAGTCGAGGCGCAACGTTAACAATCAGATTATGTTGGATTCGTGACATTTCAGTGGGACCATATGGCCGAGACACACAAGTGCGATCTTTCAGAGTCAGGCAACTCGGAAGCAAGTCCCTGTCACTCCAGCTCCTTCTCGCCAATGGGAGCTTGCAACTTGCATCTGGACACATCGTGCAAACGAACAAAATTACGCCGGAGTGGCCGGGCAAGCGTCAAATCGTATCAATGAGCAGTAGTGAGGCAATGAAGCGAACGACCCTGCGACGTAGGCTTCTTGAAAACTCTCTCCCAGAGCCACTGGTCGCAGCTCATTTCTGAGGTTTCAATGAGGCTTCGCTCAGTGTGAAACGTGCACTTCACCTTCGCTTCAAATAAGCGTCTCGGACAGGCGGCGATCCTGAACTGCAGCATGTCAAGTCGGTGGGACATACAAGAACTGCGGCAACTGCAGTGGAGCTTCTTCACGGTGCTCGGTACTGTTGGCTCGCACTCTGCTGCCAGTGAGTTCGACTGCCGACATGTCAATGTGCGGACATACGCCGACTGCGGGCTGAAACATCGTCGCCCATAGTCGCCCTTAGCCGCCCTTCGCCCTTAGCCGCCCTAGCTTTCAAAGGCCGAGCGTCGGCAATGTTGACCTTGTCGCCGAGCCCGAGCGCTTTCACCACGGCGGCGGACTGTAGCGAGGACAGAGTCGCCGAACATCATGGCTTCTGACCCTCTCTGAGGCGCCCACGTCCTCTTTGGGCACACCCTTGATGTCAATCTTGCCCTGGCGCAGAGAAAGCGAGACCCTACACCCTCGGTTTGTCTGGCGACCTGTCTGCACGTCGGCCCGTCGGCATGCTCTGCTGACATCGGTTGATCTAATATCTGCTGAGCACCGGGCGCCCACGGGCACCGAGAGCTTCCCGGCGTTCTTGGCGGAAGTGACGGCCTGGCCGCCGGATCTCTCAATCACCGCAGGATTACGGCTGACGTGATGCGCATCAACACTGACCGATGCACTGAGGATGGGGCGCCCTGGTCCACCTCCGCCTTAGGAGCGGGGACCTCGGCACCGGCCTGGCGTGACGCATCCTGTGACGCCCCCTGTGACGCCCCCTTTGACGCCCCCTGTGACGCTCCCGTGACGATGCCCGGCCAGCCTTCTCCAGCGTCGCCTCCGCCGTCTTTGTGTCCCCCTTGCCAGTGGACTTGGCAATTGCTTGCCTTGGTTCAAAGGGTCTGCCGGTTCTGCTCATGGACCGTGGGACCGTGTTGTGTCCTGATCTCAAGG